ATGATGTAAATATAGCTAGTGCCTTGTCACTGAGGTATTGCCTTTCTGGCTGTTGCAACTGTCCAGTTTAGAACAACATCCAGGATGTGGCTCAGATCCCCACATATTCACTCGTCTGAAAATGAAAGAGCTTTTTCTTATGCCTGTGATTATTTGAATATTTATGGTGATGTGAAACAAACGTGAGATTTATATTTTGCTGAGCAATGCATAATTGTTGTGTTCGGCATTTCTGTCTTAGTGCGGCTTTATCACAAACCATTATTTTTGTTTAGCCAGCGTTAATCATGACTGTCATTGTCAGTCATGTGCGGTTATGTGACATGATGGCCAGTGCTGAGTCATGCTGCGTCTATTATGAGTGTGTAGGGGTGGTCCTTTCAGAAAATGGGCAAAAACTGAAAGTTGTGCTCAGCCGTGTCACTTCGAACAATGTTCACAGTCCTGCTCGCAGGGAGGGGAACAGCTGCTGGGATTCAAGAGTGCGTATTTTACCCTCACCTACTTTTGCATGGTGAGCGCTGGCTCTTTAAATTGCTGTTAAGTGTCATCTCGCACGCACTTGCCTGTGCTGAGTCATTGGGTTCAGGCTGGTTTTGTAACCTCCACCCAGCAGGCCTTCTCATTGGCTTGAGTCTTCACTCAGCCGCTTGTGTGGTTGGCTGCCAGGACCACTAATCAGTTCTCTTTTGCAAAAGGAAGCTCTTAAAGTTACAGTGGCTTTACTCTGATTCTACTGGGTGCTGTTTCACAATAAACAGGGTGGGGCCTGTCAAAAGTTGGGGTATCTAGATAAGTAAAACATTATATGAAATTAAACATTACATTAAATTACATTTTTTCTAGGTTGAGTTACAAAGAAAAAGCCTGACGCTGGCAAATAATTATAAAAGGCTTAAATAAACAAGAACATTGAATATTGAATGGCAGTTGATTAGACAATATTATGGATGAATAAATGCAAATTTGATATGTTGGTGGAACTGTTTGATCATAACATCTCATGGTCCGTGAGACGCGTCCTAAAAGCCAATCACGCCCATGGGAAGTGCTACAGCAAACAAGTGATGAAAATTCACCTGCATATTTTCACAAACTGATTACTAGAATGCACAACGTCTGCAAAACTGTCACACCTGCAAGTTGAGAATTTGTTGAGGATACATTAAAGTATACAGTAAAAAAATTGTTTGATTTTTACAAAGCTCATCGGTCTTAAAAGCGAGGTGTACGCTGATTGGCCAGCTATCCAGTGCATTGTGATTGGCCGAATACCTGAGCGCGTGTCACGGAAATGTTACGCCCTTTACCATACTGTGATGCCGTGTCCCGGCACAACGAGACAAAACCAATAAAACCCATTACAAACGAGGCATTTGTTGCATCCAGTGGGGACATAATTACTGATTATAATGACTTATACTGTCTTTTTACGCGTTGCGTTGCGTATCGCGCCGCGTAAACATAAAACCATGTCTGCATTTGTGATCGGAGAAATGACAAACAACAAGTGCTACTCTTCACTGCTTAAAACTCGCGTTTGAATCGTCAGTGGCAAATTCTTTAAATATAAAAAACGTACTTACAGGCTGTGAGTCAGAAGTGCCAGACTATCCTTGCAAAGTTGGAACTGCCCCACTTTATAGAACAACCTTTGTGCACAGATGCATTGTAGGCTACTCTGCAGGTTCAGGAAACAGTCCTCCATAAAATGCGCTGCACACATCTGAATATTTGGGTTGAATTGTTCTGGAAGTGTTGTAAATACAACTTAACTACTGATTTCTAGTTCATCTGTTTAGCTGTGCATTTATTGAATGAGCACTGTGCGATGTCCGAACTGATTGCACTATATTTTATGTATCATCGTTTTCTATTCTTAACCGTTTTAAATTCATTTTAAACCTCTTAAATCAATTTTGTAATCATTTTCAAAGTTTTTATTATTTTTTTTTCTTTTCTTTTATGTAAAGCACTTTGAATTACCATTGTGCATGAAATGTGCTATATAAATAAACTTGCCTTGCCTTGCCTCTTTCGTCACTATTTGACTTCATCTTAAAAATAATATATATATTTTTCTGT